AGCCACACTGAATACCAGCATGTAGAAGAGTCAGACATGAATTCCCATGCAAAGTAGAATTCCTACTGGCAGATAATAGCTGCTGGGAGAGTGAGAGTCAGTTTTCTGTAAGAGTGTTGCCCCTGGTAGGTTCACATGTTTCAGTGGGAGGCCACACTTCTATGAGCACAGGGCAGCAAAAATTAGACTTTACTAAAAAAAAAAAAAAAAAAAAAAAAAAAACAGGACTCAAAATTGGATTTGTAGAAAAAAAAAATCACAGACACGGGAGGAATTGGAAGGGAATAGAAACTCATACAAAATTCTCAATAACTAAAACAGAGGTTGAGAAACATTTAAAGAAATGCTGAATGTCATCAGTCATCAGGTAAATGCAAATCAAAACAACTCCAGGGACTCATCTTATACCCATCAGAAAGGCTAAGATCAAAAAACCAACGGACAGGACATACTGACAAGGATGTGAATAAAGGGGAACACTCCTCCATTGCTGGTGGGAGTGCAAACTTGTACAACCTCTCTGGAAATCAATCATTTGCTTTCTCAGAAAATTGGGAACAGCTCTACCTCAAGACCCAACTATACCACTCTTAGGCATATATTCAAAAGATGCTCCACCATATAACAAAGACATTTGCTCAACTGTGGTCATAACAGCTTTATTCATAATAGTCAGAGACTCAAAACAACTGATATGTCTCTCAACCAAAGAAAGAATAAAGAAACTGTGGTACATCTACACAATGGAATACTATTCAGCAATTAAAAACAAGAACATCACAAAATTTGCAGGCAAATGGATAGATCTGGAAAAGGTCATCCTGATTGAAGTAACCCAGACCCAGAATGACAAGTATAGCATATACTCACTTATAAGCAGATATTAGCCATCTAATACAGGATAACCATACTACAGTCCACATATCTAAAGAAGCTAAGTAGCAAAGAGGACCCTAGGGAGGATGTTTAACTCTTATTCAGAAGGGTGAATAGAACAGACACTGCAGGAAGCAGCTGAAGAAAAGGAATAGGATGAAGCCTACCATAAATGTCCTCTGAAAGACTCCAATCACCAGGCAATTGAAGCAGATGCTGAGACCCACAGCCAAATTTTGGGTAGAGAGCAGGAAGTCTTATGGAAAAATGGCAGGGGGAGAAATAGAAGGATCCAGAGGGGGTAGGAGCTCCACAAAAAAGACCAACAGAGCCAATAAATCTGGGCCCAGGGTGGCCTGCAGAAAGTGTTACACTAACCAGGGACGATGCACAGAGAGAAGCCAGGCCCCCTGCTCAGATGTAGCCAATTGACAGCTCAGTCTCCATGTGGGTTCCCTAGTAAGGGGAGCAGAGGCTGTTTCTGATAAGGGCCCTGATGCCTGCTACTTGATCACTTGCCCCTTGTGGTGATCTTACCAGGGCACAGGGGAAGAAGATGCACCCAGTTCTGATGAGACTTGACATGCTAGGATCAGTTAATAGGGAAGGAGGGCTCCACCTTTCTAAAGATTAGGAGAGGGGAACAGCAAGGGAGAGGACTCTGATAGGAATGTAAAGTGAATGAATTTAAAAATAAATTTAAATTCAAATAATAATAATAAATTTAATAAAAAATTGAGGAACAAAGCCCAGTATTACGTGTTTATCATTTATTATAAAATTCATAGACGTAGCTATTTTGTTTTATTGAACTGTTATATTAGCATAAGGACATATAGATTAAAATAACCTCTGCCAGTCAGTTCTCTCCTTCAGGCCTATTTTAAAAGAGCTAACTTAATATTTTATATAAAATTTTATTTTCTGTATAACACCATGGAGATTCTGAGAGCAATTCAGGCTGAATTCAAAAACTGAGAAAGTAGTGTTGGAAACTCAATCATCTGAGATGATGAAAAAACATGATGTAATTGTTGTCTCTAAATTAATTATGTTCCCGAATCCCTGGAGCAACTGAGGTATATGAGAACATCCCGTATGAGAAAAGTCTAAACTGTATTTGAAAAGTGACATAAAAATGTGTGTGTGTGTGTGTGTGTGTGTGTGTGTGAATATATTTTTCTTTGCCCTACCTAGAAGTACATCTTTCTTTCTTCTCTGGCTTAATGCTGTTTGATAATATGTCATATAATAAGTCACCTTGCCGCACTTTCCCTAAACTTGGAATATTAACTCAACAAAGCAAAGCATGACCTCTTCTGTTCCTTCCAGCTTCCACATCCAGGTTACATAAGCAAAACAAAAATAAATGAGAGTGTAACTTAAAAAGGCTAAGGTGCCAGTACTAAGCACTGTTTAATTTATTTTGAAGATTTTCTCTTTACACTTTTGATGTTATTCTATTATGGGTCTAGGTTAAGAAAAAAAGTGCTAGCTGACTAACTTTGGCAAGTTATACAACATTGTTCAAAGTATCTTGTCCCATGGTCACATTTGAGTCCTTCCCTTCTCTTAACTTCACATTGTGAGCAATATTTTCATTGCTTCCAAAACTATTCACTTTTTAAGAAATATAATCAGAAAAAGTGACTTATTTTGTCATTATTATATTATCTGTCAAGAGAAGAATAATAAAGAACTTTACAGTGATTTAACAAATGTTTCTGAAGAAATTAAGATAAAACATTAAAGAAGATACATAAATTAAACTTTGGAGAAGGAAATACTCCCTCTTACAACAAGTATATTTAAAATTAATTTTGTGAAGATGGAAAGATCCCCCATGCTCATGGATCTGTAGGCCTAACATTGTGAAAATAGCCATCCTACCAAATGCAATTCCCATCAAAATACCAACAAATTCTTTACAGATCTTGAAAGTACTATTCTCAATTTCATATGGAAAAATAAAAACCAACAATAGCTAAAACAACACTGTGCATTAAAATATCTTCTGGAAGTATCACCATTCCTGATTTCAAGCTGTACTATAGAGCAACAGGAATAAAAACTGAATGTTACTGGCAGAGAAACAGACTGGTGGATCAATGGAATCAATTCAAAGACCCATACATGAACTCATACACCTATGGAAACTTAATTTTTTGACAAAGAAACCAAAACCATACAATGGAAAAGAAACAGCACCTTCAACAAATGGTGCTGGTCTAACTGGATGTCTACATGCAGAAAAATGCAAATAGATCTATATTTATCACCCTGAACAAAACTAAAGTCCAAGTGGATCAAAGGCCTCAACATAAAACCAGACATACTAAATTGGTTAAAAGAAAAAGTGGGGAAGAGCCTTGAACTCATTGGCACAGGAGACAACTTCCTAAATGGAGCACCAACAGGTCAGGCTCAAATATCAACAATCAATAAATGGGACCTCATGAAGCTGAAAAGTTTCTGTAAAGCAAATTATACTGTCATCAGAACAAAACAACAGCCTACAGATTGGGAAAAGATCTTCACCAATCCTACATCTGACAAAGGGCTAATATCTAGATTATATAAAGAACTCAAGAAGTTAAACACCAACAAACCAAGTAATCCAATTTTAAAAACATGGTGTACAGAGCTAAATAGAGAATCTTCAACAGAGAAATATTGAATGGCAGAGACACACTTAAAGAAATGCTCAAAGTCCTTAGCCATCAGGGAAATGCAAATCAAAACAACCCTGAGATTTCACCTTACACCCATCAGAATGGCTAAGATAAAAAAACTGAAGAGATGATGCATGCTGGAGAGGTTGTGGAGAAAGGGGAACCCTCTTTCATTGCTGGCAGAAATATAACATTGTACAACTATTTTGGAAATCAATCTGGTGCTTTTTCAGAAAATTAGGAATAGTGCTACCTCAAGATGCAGCTATACCACTACTAAGCATATACCCAAAAGATGGCTCACCATTTAATAAGGACATTTGCTCAACTATGTTCATAGCAGCTTTATTTGTAATAACCAGAATGTGGAAATAACCTACATGTCCCTCAGCAGAAGAATGGATACAGAAATTGTGGTGCATTTACATAATGGAATACTATTCAGCTATTAAAAACAAGGAAATCATGAAATTTGCAGGCAGATGGGGGGAACTAGAAAAGATCAGCTTGGGTGAGTTAACCCAGAAGCAGAAAAAACACATATGACATATACTCACTTATAAGTGGATATTAGCCAGATAATACAGGATAAATATACTAAAATCTGTAGTCCTAAAAAAGCTAAACAACAAGAAAGACCCTAGGGAAGATTCTCAGCCCTCATTCAGAAGCAGAAACAAGGTACACATTAGAAGTAGGGGAAGACAAGGAATAAGATAGGAGCTTTCCACAGAGGACCTCTGAAAGACTCTACCCATTAGGGTTTAGGAGACATGCTGAGATTCATAGCCAAACTTTGGGAAGAGTAAAGGAAACCTTACAGAAGAAGGAAAAGATAGAAAGACCTGGAGCGGACAGCAACTCTACAAGGAGACCACTAGAGCAAAACAACCTGAGCCCAGGGGGTCCTGCAGAGACCAATACTCCAACTAAGGGCCATGCATGGAGAGGACCAGACACCGTGTTCAGAAGAAACCCATAGGCTACTCAGTCTCCAGGTGGGTTCCCTAGTAAGGGGTATAGGGACATGAACTCAGTGGCAGACTTTCTGATCACCTCCTCCTGGGGGGTGCAGCCTTTCCAGGAAGATGACACATCCAGTCTTGATGAGACCTGATAGTCTAGGGTCAGATAGAAGGGGAGGAGGTCCTTCCCTATCATGGGACTAGGGGAAGGGCATAGAGGGAGAGAAGGAGGGTGGGTGGGACTGGGAGGAGACTAGGGAGGAGGCTGGAGCAGAGATACAAAGTAAATAAATTGTAATAAATAAATAAATTTTAAAAAATAATTTTCCCAGTTTAATATGTATAAAAACTCTTTCAAAATTTCTCAACTCAGAGCATAATTTCCTTCTAATGAAAACTCATATAATCGTTGGAAAATTTAGGGCAAGTGCCAACACTTTTGTTCAGTGGTAAAAGTCTTGCAAAGAATGAACAAGGCATAAGACAGAACTGTCTTTTCCCAAAATGTACATCAGTCACAGCAAAGAGAACCATGACTGTCAAGGAAATGATTTAATCCATGTCTTCGATAAAGCCAACTGCCACTATTCTGAAAACGGGCTATCTGTTACAGGCTTACATGCTGAATGGTATGAGCCTGCCCATAGTTAACCCATAACAGGAATTGTGGATAGTGTAAAATTACATAAGTAAGAGTAAGTATCAGTGCAGTAGTCACGAAATAACAGCTACTGTTATATACTCAGTTTCAATATAAAATATATTTCTTAAAGTTGATCGTATTGGAAACATTTGAGAGACAGAAGCCTGATCTGTGATTTATTCAATTTTCTGATAATATTATGTGAAATATTATTTAAACATTAGGCCCATAAAAGAGGTTTCAGATAAAAATGGTCTATTTGAACTTTTCTACCCTGTTGCATTACTCATGCTAGAAAATTAGGCAAAGTCATCTTTTTGAAAATAATAAAAGTAATATTTGCAAAATTACTGTCTGCAGAGATAATGGTATTTCCTGAAGTTTTTCTAAGCAATGACTCAGAATCCAATTGAGAAATGCTGAAAGGGAGACCAAGGCTGATAATGTGTCTTAAAAAAGCCTGTGCTATGTAACTTTTAAAACAGTGTTCTTCAGAAAACCTTGCTAGTATCCCTATATTTAACCTTTTAAACATAATGGGACAAATTCAGGTCTAAAAATACATTATCAGTTATGTTTATTGTTATGAGATTTTATTTTTAATTAGAATGTGTGCTATGTGTATATATGAATATTTTTATGTCTCTGTATATGTGTGTGCATATGTATGTGTATATATGTATGTATATATGTGTGTGTGTGTGCGTGTGTATTGGTGGTCTGTGTGTGTGTGTGTATTTGTGGTGTGTGTATAACTGTGTGTGTGTGTGTGTGTGTGTGTGTGTGTATGATTTTCCATTTTCCCAGGATGAAATACCAAAGAGCTGAGTGACAGCCTACAATTATATTTGTTAAACTTAATCCAAACATTTTAAATATAGGAAACAAAAACATTACAGGAAATTCACATTTATTCCTTTCAGCCACATATGTGGGCAGAATGTGGGTCATTAAAGGAAATAAGGCTGACCTATTACTTCAAATGGTAGGATGAAACATGACCCAGAAATGGTAGACAATGCTCTTCAGAAAACAACCAGAACAAAGGTCATAGCTGATTTTCTCTTCATGGTAACTAAAGATGTTATATGAAGAAAGTTCAGCGAATTTATAGAGTGACTGGTTATTAAAGTGATATTGTCACTGAAGGGACAAGAATTTGGCCAATGGAAGATTAATGGCTCTTAAGAACCCTAAGTAGCCACATTTCATACAAGAGGACTTCCCCAGAGGTGAGTGAGGATAAGGACTCTCTCACATGTGCTTTCTCTAAGGTCATACATACACATATAAAGCCTGGTTCTTGAAGATTTATCAGGAGAGTCCATATGCCTTGGGGGAATTGGAGGAAGAGAATGGATGGGCACATGGGTCATTATTTCATACTAGAATTCTTTCCTATCACTATGTTTTACAGTAGATTTGGCCTTTGGGAAGAGCTATAAGTCATCCTTTGGAATCTTACAGTGTACCTAAATTCAAGTCATGCACACAGAAAAAGTAAATGTGTCAACTCTTAGGAACTTTATCCGTCCATAGATTTCGAATTTTTTCCAAAGGCAAAGAATATTAGGAGAACCAGCAAGGAGCAGAGAAAGAGACTCCATTAAGTAGTATTTAAACAATGTTTGTGGTCTCATAATTATATACTTATTTGGTAAATTAAATATACTTATGTGGAATATGAAGGCAAATGCATTTATATGTAGTAATGTTAAAGGAAATCGATTTTACAGACAATAGCAGTTTCTCAGCAGTTAAAAGTACAAACGCATACTTTCAGAGGACCCACGTTCTATTCTTGGAATCCAGTCAGGAAATTCTCAATTATCTGTAACACCGACTGTAGGAAATCTGTCTCCCTGTTCTGGACTGTGTGGTCATCCGCACTCATTTCCACAGACTTTCACAGATACATAGAAGCACACGTACACTTAGAAACAAAATCAATCTTTACAGAAAAGAAAATTGATTTTGGATTCAAATAGGGCTAATTTACAGTACTAAATTTTTATTTATTATCTTGGTAATATTCCTGATAGCTTAGAGGATTGGTACCTGGCCAGTGACAGTGCTTAAAAGCCTTTATAATTCTAAAACTCTCTGTGTCAATTATTTGGTAACAAACTGAGGCAGAGAAGCACTCAAGAGGTTAATATCATTTTCTATAACATACAGATTTTTTTTTGCTTCTTTGTGAAAAAACCAGGTGTCCAAGGTGTGTGGGTTCATTTCCGGAATTTTGATTTAATTTCATTGATCAACCCATCTGTTTTTATGCTAATATAATGCTTTATTTAGTACTATTACTCTGTGACACATCTTGAAATCAGGGATGGTAATACCTCCACAAGTTCTTTTATTGTACAGAATTGTTTTAGCCAAACTGGGTTTTTTATTTTTCCATATGAAGTTTAAAATTGCTCTTTCAAGGTCTGTAAAGAATTGTGATGGAATTTGGATAGAAACTGAATTGAACTTGTAGATTGCTTTTGATAAGATGGCCATTTATACTGTGTTAATACTACCTATACATGAGCACAGGAGATCTTCCCAAGTTTGGAAATTTTCTTCAGTTTCTTTCTTCAAAGATGTTGTTCTTCAAAGTTCTTGTCATACAAGATTTTCCGCTTGCTTGGTTAGAGTTACACCAAGATATTTTATATTATTTGTGATTATTGTCAAGGGCAGTTCCACTAATTTCTTTAAACTCATCTATAGCCTGCATATAGGAGAACTACTGGTTTTTGTTTGTTAATTTTTATCCAGCCAATTAGTTGAAGGTTTTTATCAGCTGTAAGAGTTCTCTAGTAGAATTTTATGGGTCACTTATGTATTCTATCATATCATCTGCAAATAATGACAATTTAATTTCTCTTCTAATTTGTAACCCCTTGATCTCCTTTACTTGTCTTATTGCTCTAGTTAAATCTTCAAGTACCATATTGAATATATAAGGAGAGAGTGGGCAACCTTACCTTATCCCTGATTTTAGTGGAATTGCTTTAAGTTTCTCTTCATTTAATTTGATGTTGGCTATTGGTTTCTTGTACATTATTCTGTTTAGGTATGTGCTTTGTATCACTAATCTCTGCAAGACTTTTAACAAGAAATTGTGTTGGATTTTGTCAAAGGCTTTTTGTCATCTAATGAGATGATCATGTATTTTTTGTTTGTTTGTTTGTTTGATGTTTTCAGTTTGTATGGTGGATTACATTGACTGATTTTTCGTATGTTGAACCATCCCTGAATCCTTGGGATGAAGCATACTTGATCTTGGTGGATGATTGATTTATTTTTCTTGGATTCAGTTTGCGAGTATTTACTGAAAATTTTTGCCTCACTGTTCATAAAGGAGATTGGTCTAAACTTCTATTTTTTTGTTGTTGTTGTTGTTGTTGAGTCTTCATGTGGTTTAAATATTGGGTAACAGTGGCCTCAAAGAATGAGTTCGGCAGTGATCCTTCTGTTTATATTTTGTGAAATAGTTTGAGGAGTATTGGTATTAGCTCTTCTTTGAATGTCTGGTAAGATTCTGCACTAAAACTATCTGGCCCTGGTCTTTTATGTTGGTTTGTTTTTGTTTTTGTTTTTACTTGGGAAGCTTTTAATAATTGCTTCTATTTCCTTGGGAGTTTTAGGTCTATTTAAACTGTTTACCTAATGTTGATTTAACTTTGAGAAGTGGTATTTAACAAGAAAAGCATTCTGTATATATATATTGTTTAAATTTAGGTATGTCATGAATATTTTCTCCATCTATGTTGATTGAAAGTTTTGCTGGCTATAGTAGTCTGGGTTGGCATCTATGGTCTCTTGGTGTTTGCAAGATATCCACCCAGGGCTTTCTGGCTTTCATAGTCCCCATTGAGAAGTCTGGTATGATTATGATAGGTCTGCCTTTACATGTTATTTGGCTTTTTCCCTTGCTACTTTTAATATTGTTTTATTCTGTAGATTTAGTGTTTCAAAAGAGATTTATTCATTTCTTCCTTAAAGACCTCTATCATCTACATAATAGTGGATTTAAATTCATTTTCTTGTGCTTCAGACCATATCCTAGTCTTGTAGTATGACATCCGAGTTCTAGTGGTGCCATATTGCCCTGGCTTTTGTCGTTTGTGCTCTTGTGCTGGCCTTTAGTCCTATGGTTGCCTCTGGTATTGGCAGGCCTCAGGTAATTCAGGCTCAGTTATGGCCCAGAAAATGGAGCACTAGGGAGCAGGTGTTGTTTATCTTTGGTAGTTTCTGATGGCTGCAGGCCTCTTTCTGTTCAGGAGAGCTGCAGACATCTGGGGATGGTGGCTGAGCTGGTGGTCCCAGTTGGCTGCTGGCCTCTGGAAATGCAGGTAGGGCTGTGGTTCGGGAGATGGAGCATGCAGGGGCAGGGCAGTGCTCACCACTGCTGGGCTTGATCAAGGGCACCCAGTAGGCAGGAAGTTGGTATGTAGAATTCTCTCCTGTCTGTCCAGTGTTTCAACAGGCCTCTAGGGTTGTAAACTAAGCTGTGGGCAAGGAATGGGGTGCACAGTTGGCCTCTTTTCTGTTTTCTTAATGATAAGTATTTTGGGGCTAGAAGAAATCTCATTAATTAGCATTTCACTGATGGCTAAAGATGATAAACACCCCTTTTCATATATTTATTGGCCATTTCCTTTCCTCCATTTAAAATTTTTTTAAGTTCATTAAACAATTTACTTTTGGAGTATTCATTCTTTTGTTACCTAATTTTTGAGCTCTCCATTTGTTTTGATATTATTCTGGTCAAATGTGTCTGACTAGTATTTTATCTCATTCTACAGGAGGTGCATTCACCATGACAGTGAGTTCTTTGGGTTGTAAAAAATCTTTTAATTTCATGCAGCCTCATTCATAAATTCTTGCTACTAGTCAAAAAGTTGCTAGAGTCCAATTCAGAAATCCTCAACTATGCCTAG